TCCCCCCAGGGCGGAGGAGGAGGAGGGGGGCGGGACGCCTGGGTTCCCCCCAGGGCGGAGGAGGAGGAGGGGGCGGGACCCTGGAGGAGGAGGGGGTGTTCCGGGGGAGCCGGGTTATGGGCAGGCAGGAGGGGACGTGTCCTGGGGGGAATCCCCCCCCTGCGCCCCCAATCTCACCCTGGCCCGTCTCCCCCCAGCTCTCCTACATCGCCGAGGACGAGAACGGCAAGATCGTGGGCTACGTGCTGGCCAAGATGTGAGTCGTGGGGCCGGGGCGTCAGCAGCCCCCCAATCCCCGCCCTGGCCCCCCTCGTCCTCTCCCCTCTCAACCCCCCCACAGCCCCTTCCTGGTGCCTCTGCCCCCCTCCCCTGCACGCTCCAAATCCCCTGTGACCTGCCCGTCCCCACTCCTGCCCTGGCCCCCTCGTGCCCCCGTGTCTGCCCGTGGGGCTGGCTCGTCCCTCGGGCTCCGTGCTGACTTCTCTCCTGTCGCCCTAGGGAGGAGGACCCCGACGACCTGCCCCACGGACACATCACCTCCCTGGTGCGTGGCGGGCTCACGGGGGGAGGGGCTGGAGCAGGGGAGAAGGAGGGGTGGGGGCTACCAGATTGTGGGGGAGGCAAAAAGGAGGGTCTGGAGCAGAGGGGTGCCTGGGGGCTATTGGGGGGCTGGGTGCACACCGTTTGGGGGGGCAGGTGCAGACTGGGGTAGGGGGCGCCCTGTTCGAGGGGGGTCCCAGGCGTGGGGGGGGGCAGGTGCAGACTGGGGGGTTGCCCTGTTCAAGGGGGGACCAGGTGCAGACCGGGGTGGGGGCACCCTGTTTGAGGGGGGAATGGGCGCAGGTCAAGACGCCCCCCTGGCCGCCCCCCCAGGCCGTGAAACGCTCCCACCGGCGCCTGGGGCTGGCGCAGAAGCTGATGGACCAGGCGTCCCGCGCCATGATCGAGAACTTCAACGCCAAGTACGTCTCCCTGCACGTCCGCAAGAGGTGAGCCCCCCCACGGGACCCCCCCAGCCCCGGGACTGCCCGGGACCCCCTTCTTCACACCGCCAACCCGCCTGTGACGGGTCCCCCCGGCTCCCACTCGGAACTGGGGTCCCATTGAGTCCGTCCGTCCATCCCACCAGCGCACACAGGTGGGGACACACCTGGAGAGCTCAGCTAAGGAGCTGCCCAGTTACTCAAGTGACCCCCACCTGGGATCGGCCCAAGGTCAGCTCGGGACATCCCCCCCACACCCCCCCACACCCCCCGCGCGATGTGGAGGGGGATCTGCCCGGCTTTCGGCCCCCAGGTCCGATTTCCACACACTGGCCTTAGACAAAACCAGCCCGAGAGAGAGTCCAGAAGTGATGCTAAGGGAGAGCGGCAGCTGGAAGCGGCTCACCCAGCAAATAAACAGCCCCCAAACGGAGCGTCGCCCCCTCCCTGGGGTGTCAATCGGCCAGTCCTCCCCTACAGCCCCCAAACGGAGCGTCGCCCCCTCCCTGGGGTGTCAATCGGCCAGTCCTCCCCCGGCGCGACGGACGGGCCGGCTGGGGCTCGCGGCACAAGCTGCCTCGGCTTTCCCAGGAGAAAAATCCCTTCGCCTCGGACCAGCGTGTCCCCCGTTCAGTCCTTGCCCCTCCGGTGTTTCC